ACAGATATAACGAATGCAAACGAATCCGAATTTCCGTTTCCGAAATTCGGTAGCGGTAGTTCGTTCGGACGTTCGTTTCGTTTTCGTTTCTTATTCGTTTCGTTCGTTGGAGGAAACCATTTTTCCCCCTCAAATGTCACTTTGCTGCAAACGAACGAAGGAACGAAAACGAAACGAACTACTGCTACCGAATTTCGTCCGAATCCGAATTGACTTTCACACCAGAATCTCGAAAGACGAAATAACACAAATACGAATTTAAAACGAAACTAAAGAAATTTTTTGGCAGTGCACATGTCTACTATTCACCATCATCATTTTTTTTTTATTTCCTCTTTTTAAGATATGAATAAGAGTTCACATTGAAAACCACTTATCAGGTCCTCCCAGGCTGATTGACAGCGGGCAGTGGGCGGGTCCTCCGCTGCTGTCTTCCCCTGGTCCGTCGGCTTCTCCGTTCGCCCGTCCGGCCGTGGCACCTCTGCCCCGCCCCCTGCCTCATCTTCATCTGCAGGCTGGGAGCCATACCCAGCCTGCTATTGGATATTGTAAAATGCAATAGCCAATAGCAGGCTGGTTATTGCACCCGCCCACTGCCCGCTGTCAATCAGCCTGGGAGGACCTGATAGAGAACTTTCTCCTTCAGGCTCCTCCTCACTGATTGCTGAGTGTTTTGTACCCGCTCTCCTCTCTGTCACACACTGTCACAGGAGGCTGAGCGGGCGGTGCAGGGAGGAGCCTCCTGTGACATCGCTGGCTGTCTCCGCCCCCACACCGCTCTGCCGGACTGTGATAGGCGGCCGAGCGGTGTGGGAGGAGAGACGCCGGCCGCTCACAGCGTTCTCCTCCCGCAGCGTTCGGCCGCCTGTCACTTTCTCTCCTCCCCGCTGGGACACAGAGCAGCGCCCAGGGGGGAGGATAGAAAGCAGGGATGCACCGACATGTCGGCACAAAAATGGCACTTTTGGCATTTAGGCAAAAGTGCCATTTTCGGGCCGATGTGTTTCGGGCGGCCGATATATCGGTGCGTCCCTACTTATATACATTACAACTGTTTATAATTATACCAATATTATATTATAATGCCTGTAATCAGCATAAAGGAGTTGAAGTAACCACACACAAATACAACATCCTCAATGGTATGTATTATTATTATTATTATGTTTCCCTCCTCAAACTTTCTATACTCCATTGTCTTAAAGTGACACTAAACTCTTAAAAATACATTCAAGTCCCTGAACTCTGAATAACAATGTCTCTTATTTGTGTATCACTCGGCTGTAGATCCTCCAATCATCTCTGACACTGTCCTTCCTTCTGGAGGGGGGCTACGTCTGTTCCCCGTGGTCCCTGTGTGTGTTGTAAAGTAGTCACCGCTCCGAGCTAACTCCCGGGATGGACTACAATCCCATGTTTAGTTTACTGATTTGTATTGAGACCGTAGTTAGGGTTGCCACCTGTCCAGGATTCACCCGGACAGTCCGGTTTTTGAGTCCTGTGTCCGGGTTTCAGGGCCAGCTAACACCTGGACACTTTACAATTTTTTGATAGGAAGATGGAAGAGGGGATGTGCCAGCCCGTGGCTCTCAGGAAGGCTGCCGAGGTCCCCACCAAGCGTGGGACCTTGGCAGCCTCCCTGCGAGCAACAGGCGCATGTAAGCAGGCGCCGGCCCGCACATCTCCCCCTACGTCTTCCTGACACCACGTTCCTCGCCTCCAGACCCCCTGGTGACACACCGCACAGCACTCCTGAAAGTCTGCATAGCCCACATAGCCACCTGAGAACCCACATAGCCCACCTGGGAACCCACAGAGCCACTTGAATGCCCACATAGCCTATCTGAGAGCCCGCACAGCCTCCTGACAGTCCATACAGCCCACATGAGAGCCTCCACAGCTCACCTGAGAGCCCGCAGAGTCCACCTGAGAGCCAGCACAGCGCTGGTGAGAGCCTGCACAGCCCGCCTGAGACCCCGGAGACATCAGGGAGCCACCCCGGAACAACACATATTTAGCTTGGTATTTATTTTGTATTGCTGTATAACGCATTGCTGGAACTTGTAGTCCTCTATAGCCGGTCTCCTTACCCCCTCCCCCGGCTGCCTCTCCTTGCTCTTTCTCCTGGGTGCTTCTCCTCTATATTCTCCAAAAAAAAAGAAAATTGCGGCGCTAGATCGTTCGGGTTTCATTTGAAGAAAAGGTGGCAACCCCAATTGTAGTCCATTCCAGGGGGGGGAGCTTGGAGTGTGCGGCCGCCGGCCAATCACGGCGCGGCGGGCCGCAATTCCTCCCCCCAGCTGTCAGATATAGGGCGCGTATGAATCCACCGGCGTTTGACGCCGGAGGAAGTAGCCGCCTACCTTGCTATCACACAGGGGCTTGATATTTCCTGTGTCATAGCAATAAAGTTAGGTGGGGGGAAAAATTACATTGATTTAAAAAAATAAAAATTAAAATGTAAAAAAAATAATATTAAATAAAAAAATAAAAAGGTGATTAAAAAGTAAAAAAGAAGAAAATAATTATAAAAAATAATAAATAACAATAATAAGATAAAAACTGTTTTTTACCTGCGCGCTGTGTGATCCCCCCCCCCCCCCCCCATATCTATATAGAATCTTCTTTGGTGATGTGACATATCGGGGTACGAGGACTGTACCAGCTCTGGGATAATATGGGGGGGCGGAGTTCCTGTGTGTACAGAACACGGAGCGTTCTGAAAGTGAAAGTGAGATCTGCGGTGACGTTGTTCTCCTCTCCCCCTCCTCTTCCCTCTGCTCCTTCCTGCTCTCCTCTATGTGACGTCATCCTCTATTCAGAGCAGTCGTGTCTACGGAACCATCACATCCAGGTAACGCGGTGTATGGAGGGGGGGCAGCACCCCGAAAACCTTATGTTCCTGGGATCTCTTCCCTCCCGGGATCTCATATTAGTCACGATGGAAGCGGATTGCTGGAAATAACACACCCCGAGGGGGCGGCTGGATGTCTCATGCAATGGAAACATTTTACGTCACCTGATACATTGTAGAAAGAAAGATTAGAGCAGGGGGTAGGCAACCTCGGCACGCCAGCTGTGCTATAACTATAAACCCCATCATGCCCCTGCCTCTGGGAGTCACGCCTGCGGCGTAGTCTTGCAGCTACAGATCTCAGTGTGTAAATATATTGCACAATAATGGCGGACGGGTTCTGGAAGATAATTGCTGGGTGTGGTGATCAGAGTCCAGCCAGAAGTAACCGGAGATCTCGGGAAAGAAACAAAGTGTCCCCTAAAGACTGGAAGAGGAAACACTTCACAGGTACCTTGTCTGGGGGGGACACTGGTGGCCCCGTGTAACGGACTTATCTGGGGGGACACTGGCGGCCCCGTGTAAAGGACATGTCTGGGGGGGACACTGGCAGCCCCGTGTAAAGGACATGTCTGGGGGGGACACTGGTGGCCCCGTGTA